ATGACAATAACTCTGTTTAGATTCAATGATTGGCCCAGATGTCAGGACAGAATTGATGTCCATAAACATGTCACTACTTCAAAATCTAGCAGGTAGCCCAATGCCTAACACAGAGGGAGCTCAGTGAATATTACCAAAAGATTAATTGTGTCTCATATCAATTCTTACTTCCTGTGATGACTTACTAGTTGTGCCTGGCACAAGAGATTTAACCATATCTTGAAAGCCATCTACCGCTTGATTACTTAGAGCTGAAAATAACTAGTAAATAACTAGTATTCAGTAGTAAATAACATTGACAGAGTTAAGCAACATAAAAGTTGACCCAACACCTTTCTCAGTTCTAAAGCAACACATATATAGAGGAAAGCCCCTGGGATTGACTGACACTAAATTTGAACCCAACTGGAGAGTAAACCCTTGGTATTTCCTTGAAGAAAAAATGGACTTGTGCTGAACGAATCTCTGCTTCTGTCTAAAATACTATTTCCTCAAACACCAAGGAGCTTTCTCTAGTATGCTGTTTTAACCATATCCTCTGAGTACTAAAAACCTAGAACCCAAAACTAGGAATGCACAGGGTCCAGGCAGAGGGCTGAGAGAAGGGACAGAAGTTTTCTGGTGGCAGCTAACAAACTTCTTCTCAGTAATCTAGTCCCCAGACAGCTGTCATGTACTTCTCCAATTTAAGCCCTACTTTGAACAATGGATTGTTAAACACCATCCTGAGTTGGATCCGTGTGTCAGGCTCATGCACAGCAGCATTGACACAACTATTTCAAAATGGAATTATGTTGATATAGCCTAAAACACAAGCTGCCAAAATTTCAGCTCTTTTTAGGAGATCAAGAATGTGAAAAATATATTCCTCCCTTCAATACTGAATATCGCCACATCACTGAGACACACATCTTGGGCACAGAGATGGAGTCGGGGGGGCGAGGGGGGACAGGTTCCCATGGGGTTCAGATTCACATCTGGGCTGTTCATTGTACACAGTACCCATCAAGACTAGGCAATACATATTCTGCGAGTAATGTATGCAGAACTTTCTTGTGAAGAAATCACAAGTACTAGTTTGCACTTAGACCAATTATTCCCAAGATGACAGACAGCCCAGGAAAGAGCAGATAACCACAGTGCCAAAAATAAATGTCCATTCGCATTCAGTGAGCTTGTCCTCCTCAGCCTGAAAACTGGGCAAAGTAACCATGATTTATATGCAGAGACTTTCATTTCAGGAAAAAGTGTTCACTTGACATTTTATTTTCAGGCAATATTTAACGAAGGAATTTTATTTAAAAGAGTTCTTGAGAAAACACTCTCATGAAGTCTTGATTGAACATAATTTTGACATTTCTTCTTCACAAGAGCCATCGCTAAAAGTAAGAAACCTCAGAAGCTTTAGGTAAAAAAAATTATGTACAATGTAAAAGAGATAACACGTCACATTCCCTCTGAGCCTTGTCATCTTTAAATTAAGATTATTTTCCTTTCTTAGCTAAAACATCATTGCTAAAATCTGAGGCCAGAGAACTTTCTTAATCAAGCCTTTAGATTCATACATGCTAGCTGCCATTTATTTATTCTCTTTATTAATTAACGTGTTTTATTTATGTGAAAAACTAATCATAAAACAAAACTAAGCAAAACTGATTTAGCACTTAATACTTTGTTATCACCACAGTGTGATGTACAGAAAGCCTTATAAATATCAAGAACTACACAAATGGATTCTTAGAGATGTTCAGGGATTATACCAATCTAATTATTATGTTGACAATCTCCCAACAAGCTATGATTCAGATTCTAAAGGTGATTAGGCTAATTCTTTCTTTCAGGCCAAAAAATGTGTTAAATTATGGGTATTCAACCACAATTACTTGATGTCAAGGATTAGAGATTCAATGGCAAGCAAGCTCCCACACAGCTTCAAGTCAAACACAGAAGACAGAAAATTAAAGATAATGAAGTTCTCTGCACATAAGTAGTGTAATGTAGCCTGTTACAGAATGGGGGAGCCAGGGAAGGCACCCCATGAGTTGATAAAAACAAAGACCTGAAAGATAAAGACCTGAACATAAGAGACTCTAATACAGCATGCAGGTGCGACCCAGCAGGTAGGGATCAACCACGGCCTTTAAGGAGATAATGATGTCCATAGTACCGAATAGCATTCATTCAGGGCCTTGTAAGTTATGTTTGAAAGTGTAAAGTTTATCTGAAAGCCAATCAGAGGCCATTGAACAGATGTCAGCAGGTGAGTGGCATAATCAGGTCTGCATTTAGAAAAATTCACTCTGGCTGCTGTGTGGTAAGTGCATTGGAAGGGGGCGGGAGCAGAGACTAAAAGCCCAGGGGGCATAAGAAAGGGTGAGTGTTGTGTCTGTGAAGACTGAGAAACAGTTAGGAGGTAAAACCAAGAGAACTTGGTGAGTTAATACCTTCGATTCCATGTGAAATTCTAGCTTTGAAAATTCTGTTTGCCTTCAGAGGAGAGAAAAGAATAGTATCAAATAGCAAACAACTCAGCTTAAGAAAAAAGAACAACACTCGTCTACCACACACATAAGAAAATTTCAAATGCTTAGAATCTAGTTTCTTGAGCAATTTTATTAGCACCATTTGCCATACCAACCTCAACGATAACTGTCAGATCAGAATCAACAAAAGAGCCTTAAAAGTATTGCCCTTCCCCCAGCAGATGATAAGCACCTCATCTTCAAACCCCAGCACCAAGCAGTGCTCAGCACATATAGCTCAATAAATGTTACTTTAGTGGAAATGAAGAATACTTCGGGATGTGATTAGGTCAAATGTGTCAAGCCTACTGAAACTACCTAGCATAAAAATAGATCTCTTGTGCTACATTTTACTTAGAGAACAAATGACAGCAGAAAATTGAACTAATTTTCTGAATGGAAAAATAAAGTAGGGTAACCACTGAAAAGCAGCTGGAAGAAATGCTTAAGAGACATTAAGCAATACTGCCCAGACGCATGTCTGTGAGAAAAAATAACAGTAAGCGAGAATGACCCATAAGTAGCCAGAGTTCCCACCAACGAGAACAGAATCCACTTGTGCCCAGGTCTGAGGGGAAGCAGGTTACGTGTTACAGTGGTAATGGCTCTGGGCTGGGTTTACATGGATGATATGTTCGTCCTTAGGTAATCACACCTGCAATCTTTGTTTCCATACCCAGCATTATGCTTTTTTTTCAGATGTAGAGATTTTAACTTGTTTCAAGTCATAATTATATCTCCAGTTCCTACCTAGTATAGTGACTGAGACATGTTAAGATCAGGAGAGTTAATCAGTAAACACTAAATGAATGTCTGAATGAATGAATAAATGAGTGAATGAGTGAATGAATTTATTAATTTAAAGTGCTCAGGTACTCTCTTATTATTTTAACCTCCATTTCTTCTTAAGCATATCAGATGAACTCCTTCCAGTTGGAAGACTACATCTTTTAAGTGGAAAAAAAAGAAGCAATGTAAGAATTAAACACTGCATTACATTTCTCAAGGATCCAATAATCTTAACTCTTCCTTTTCATTTCTTTTTTCTATATAACACAAACACGTGTACTTATAATCACAAGGATTTTTCTTTTTAAAATTTTTTATAAAACTTTGGATGCTCTGAACTTTAGTCCTCCTGACTCTGTTTTTATAGATCTGTGATATCCATTTGCTTTTGCCCTTGACTGTAGGAGCTTCCTTTAACATCCCGTACATATGTTTTTATATCTAATTTTAGCAAAAAAAGTCTTTCATTACAGCCACATTTATTCTCTTAGTTGTTCTTCTTTATCTTCACTGTGATTATTCACATTTCTATTATCAAACAACCCCCACCTATTTGTGTCCAAGGGATCACACTTCCTTTTCTGCAAGTTTTAGATGACAAATTTCCTAGGGTACATAACTAACTAAATTTGTGTTTTCATTTTTAGTTTTCTGCAGTCCTGTCTCCCAAAGTTTCCATGATTTTTCATCGCTAGCAAGCTATCCCTCCTCATTTAAAATTAGCATCAGAATTCAAGTGTTCCCGTTGCCTTCTCTATTTCTGGAATACTAAATTGTTAAAGTAAGCAGAGAATTTACCATCTGCCCTGCTTTTTAGTAAGGTGTCCTTTCCGGGAGCTGTCTAGTTCACTCAATCTCCCCATCACTATTACTACAATCTTCCTTGACATTCGTGTTCTAATTTGCATCAGGAAAGCATTGTCCACGTTCCCTGTATGACAGGAAATCTATACTATATCCTCTCAACACCTTACTTCTGATTCTGCTTTGGGCTCTACTCCAAAACTCTAACCTATGTATCCATCATGTGGTCATTAGCTTTGCCAGAAGATGGACACCATATAATCTCACACTACCCTACAACCCCTTCTATTAAAAATGTCATGTTGCTCATATCAACTTCTCAATTTTCCCTATATAAGTTTCCTCCTCTAATTGAGATAATATACTTGCTCAGTTGACTTCACCTAATGTAGGAAAATTTATGGTTATAAAATTATTTTAAAAAGAACCTACAATTTCAGTGTAATAATTAACAGAATTTGTTAATTACCACAGAGATTGCATGAGAGGCATTACTAGTACCATGGTTATAAAATTATTTTAAAAAGAACCTACAATTTCAGTGTAATAATTAACAGAATTTGTTAATTACCACAGAGATTGCATGAGAGGCTTTACTAGTACCATGGTTAACTTAAGATACACAAATAATTTATGTACAGTACATTAAAATCACAATTATGTTTCTTGATATTTAAAAGCAAATAGCTAGGAGTCTTAAAAAATGCTTAGTGACCATAAGAAAACCTTAAAAATTAACAAAGAATCATCTAATTCCGTTGTAGCTAATCAAATGGAGGACAATAAATAGGTAGCCAAACTTAAAATCAACTTGTCTGGCTTCTTACGCATTCATCAAACTAACAATCAATATGTAAAGTTCAGAGCATTCCAGAGGGTACTTACGAGAACATTGCTATCTGTAGCCATGTATGTTATCAAATTGGTAGAAATGAAAGCTAGAAGAGAAAAAAAAGACTTCAGTTAAACGTGGGATTCAAATGTTCATAAAAGCATACATCTCCTTGACCTGAATGTCGGGGAGAGAATTTCTATTTCAATTAATGAATTTCACAATAAAAACAATGCATTAAATGACCTTTTAATGCAGAACTCAATGAGCCAACTGTTTAAAATTGATTTCATAAAATAAGCCAGAATTTCATTGATGCATTAGTCAGTATTCTTTCGAGTCTACAAGACATGTATATTACTTATGTATGCATTATTGTATTATACATAAACATAATCTTTGAAAAGTAAAAATATTTTTCTCTTCATGATGAATGATGCGATGTAATGTGTGGAACTATTGGATCCATTGCTATTATTCTGACAATATTAACTAAACAATTTCAAAAATGTAACTAATTCCTCTGCCTCAGAAGTCCCAACTTTAAGATGAAAATGAATCTCTTTTGATGTATTACACTTTGTAGTGGATTACCTGAAAAACAAGACACTTTGTGGTTTCAAGAAAAGCAGATGAAAACAAAAAGAAAAGAATGTCATATTTTCAGACTTTAACAGGCAAGAAACTTGTTAGACATCCACCAGCCACTGAAACTGTCCTCAAAGCACAGAGCCTTTCAATCTCTTCCCAGTGACACCACAAATGCAGATCCATACCCCATGTGACTTTATTTCATATACCAGTGGTTCCCAACTTTTGAAGAATGGATACCCCATTTTAATGTCAAAGATGTCATATTTATATTACATAGATATGAATAAAACATTCAATTGTAAAATGGCAAAAAGAAAAACACACTTAAAAAGATTGATAATTTACTTAATTACTAACTTATTTATTTAAAAAATACACTAAAACTTAAATTAAAAAATCAAATCACAAGCTGGTAAAAATATCTACATATACCTTTAATATATATGATTCATTCTATAAAGAGTTCTTACACACCAATAGAAAATAATAAGCAAACTAATAGACTGAGTAAAGAAAAATTCCAAAAGTAAAAATACACATGGCTAATGTTTAACTTCAGTAGTAATACAAAAAGTACAAAATAAAACAACAACATGATTCTATTTTTAACTTTTTAAGATTGGCATACACACAAAAATATATTTATTCCTTAATCAAGCATTTATTAAAGGTCAACTATATATACCCTTTAAATATGATATAAAGCATTGCTGTGTAATCTTTCGTGACTCTACCCAGATGGCTAATTGGCCCCTCCCCTATAACAATATGACAGCTAAGTTTATTGCATTTATTAAGCAGTTACTATGTGACTGGAGAATTGATTTTCATGTATCATGCCATATCATTGTTGGAACCACCTTATGAATGATCTATTACTAGTCCCATGTCTTAGATGAGACAAATTAGGCAATTTAGAGAAGGAAGTTAGTAAATGGATTTTTCTGAATTCAAACACAAACTCCAGAGCCTGCTCTCTTAACCGTCATAGTACCATCCTGGCTCCCCAATAGGACGTTGTTCATAACTAACTCCTTAATGTCTGTGGTATTGTACCATGATGCTGTGGACAGATCTCTGTGGTTAGATAATGAAAATGCCAAAGGTAAAGACCAAGATCTAGTCTTCTTCTTGCCCCAGGGCTGAGCCCATAAAGGTCACAGCTTAGGCAAGAGTTGGTAAAATGATATTTTAAACTAATAGATTACAGCTTCCGACAACGTTATTTCAGTAGAATTCTGAATCCCTTTACTTAGTCAGCTTTTTACTAGTAAAACAAGCATAGAATTCACAAAAGACAAAGGGAAAAAATTATCTTTAATTCTTCCCCTAGGCATTATATTTATTGACAATACACTGCTCTGGTCATTGATATTAAGCCTTCTTTGGATCTTGAAGAATATTTCTTTTGTATATATTGTGCCTCTTTACTTCCTATCTCTTCAGTGTGTTCACGCTGTCTATGCCCATTGGTCCAAGGCACCAGTAGTACCTCCCTCTTAGATCACTGCAAGAACATCCAGCTGATGTCCCAGCTTTCAGTTTTGCCCAGAGTGAAGTTTGTTCAATGCACATGTGACTACTCATCTCTTCTTAAATCTCTGCAATGACCATCGAGCCTTGAGATAAAGACCAAAATCATGAACATCTCCTACAAGGAAGGCTTTGTACTATCTGGCCTCAGTCTCCTCTCCAGCCCCATCTTGGATCATTTCCATGTCTCTTTCTTTGATCTCCCTGACTCACTGGCTTTTTCAAATTTCTTAAACATGTTTCTACCAATTTCAGAACTTCTGTGAATGCACTTGTTCAACAGCCCTCACCCAAGATGGCTTAGATCGTCTAATCTTTTAGCCCTTAGACCAAATATCATTTAGTAAAGAAAGCTTTCTCTGATCTATGTGAGATCAATCTCATTTTATGTGCTCTGATAGCACTTTATCTTTTCTTCATAGAAATTTCCATAATTTTATCAAATTATTAATTTTACAATTGATCAATTTTACAATTGATCCTTTAATATCTGGCTCCTCGCTATAGCATGAGTTACCCAAGAGTAGGCATTTATATGTTGTTCACTTGTTTATTGCTGTATCCCCAGTCTTTGTACACAGGGTGACTCAATAAATATATGTTTAGTAATCGAACTAATAATACAAACAATAAAAGCACTAAACCATAGATGAATTTCCATAAAGAAAACCAATGAATTACAATTATTTTTGTTCAGTAGGAAGTGTTGTCATGAATATCGCTTTAGAAATCTCCTTCTCAATATACAGGATATGGAAATAAAATTGTGTTGATGTCATATTTCCCTCAGTCAAAGAGCAAAGCGGGGAAAAATACCATGCAATCAGTGGTGCAGGGCAGGGAGGAATAAGTGAGGGGACCTGGGGACAGATGTAACTTCATGGGAGCTGTCTGTGAGTGTTTACTTAATGATTTTGGAGTTTCAGTACTTATTCCTTGAAGTAGTTGACATATATGAAATCTACAGTGTCACCAAAATCATTCAAAGATAATTTGAGGCATAAGAAACATCAAAACAATTTAAGCTCAACTGTTGTTTATCCTCTTCCATACAAAGCATGTACCCATAATTCAGAAGGATTAGAAAGTGAAATAGTGGTCATGGGGACTCAGGTAAATACATTTTCTTATTATTTGGGCAATGAGAACCAACTCAGCTAATCATGTTACAGGGCAGATGGTATCTATATATTGATAAACTAAATATGTACTGTAAGATGTTGATTCAAATATTTATAAAGCATACAATAAAAGCAGTTTATGAAAAATAATAATGATGCTCGAAAAGATGTTTTGAAAGTAATAATTTTTCCATAGTTTCAAGCTATTCTGAGAATATCAGTTTAAGCCAGGTGACTTTAAGTGAAAGAGTTAAAAGAAGAAGTAGTAGTTATTTGATATGTCTTGATAAAATTTTTTGCATAATTCTCAGGAATTAAAAATATATAAGAGCCTAATGATAGGGTAACAAAAAGAAGTTTTATTAATCAAGAGGTTTCCAATTCTTTGATTTTAACAAAATTAAAGAAAACTCTATTTTAATCATCTGTTAATCATTAAAAGTAGTTGTTGTGGTTGATCACCACGTGGTATTTGGTATATATTTGGAAGGAGTTTAAAAAGTGTTCCATTCCCATTTATTTATGTGAAACATAGTCTTAAGTGATTACGTACATAAAAATCAAGAATAAGATTAAAATTATTTCTGAACTCTCATTCTAGCAATAAATAATATCCATGTACATGTTACATAATAAGAAAGTCTCATCTATCTCATTAAGTAATGAAATATTGTATTAATCATCATTGTCAAAATATGTAACTTATTCATGTTGTTTTTTAAATTATGTATCAATAATAATTGTAATGATAACTTATTCAAAATAAAATATTTTATGGCATAAATAATTATGTCACCCCAAATTTTAAAAGTTAATTTCAATTTAAATATGTATTTTTTGTGAAATGCATTATAATCCATAAAATATTTTTAAGCATAAAAATGTCTAATTGGATAAAAACCAATGGGATAGTAAAATGGAAATTCTCCATTTAAAAAAACTCCAAATATTACTTTTTAAAAAAAATAATGGGACACATTATTAATACAATGTTTTATTGTATATATTTCAAGAGAAGTATAACCATTTTTACCATCAAGATTTATAACATGCTAGAAATTACATCTTTCACAATGATTTAAACATATGACAAAAACCTTAGGTGACAGTTTAAAGTATAAGGAGGGTTTCCAAACCCCACACAACCAAAAAGAAATATTTTTAAGCTACCGCATGCACAGATCTGTCAAACAGATTTCATTTTGTCACTTGTTAAATGTGGAAACTTATAAAAATCACTTCATTTCTCTGAATAGCAGATGCCTCCTCTGTTAAGCAGAAATAATAACAACCAACTCATAGGGTTTTTGTGAGAATTAAATGAACTATCATACGAAGAATATGCAGGGCACTGTGCACGATGAGTGGTAACAATTACCTAGAATGGGAACAATTACTTAGAAATAGCTTTTTTATAGAAAACTCTTCTTCCTAATGGAATTAGCACGTAACTGGAGGGTTTGAGCAAATGCAACAACAGGTTTCATCAAATAAAATCGCTTTCACACTTTGAGGTTGATTAAGCTCCCCAATCTATTCTCCCAGCGACAGTTTTGGTGCCTTGTTTCAGAGTTTAAGGAAATCACTTTCTCAGTCAAATTGGACACAGTTATCTTTAAAGAACAGTTTCTTAACACGATGCACCATGAGACTTAGCCAAAAGAATGAGGTCATTAATTTTAAGTTGTGAAATGATATCAAATATATTCCTGATAAACTCTGTCATTGAGAAGTAGACAACACATTTCATTATCAAATGAATAATAAAGTTAATTGCAAAAAAGAGATTTTCTTTAACATAAAGATATTTTCCTTAACATATACTGGTTGTCACAGACTAAATGTTTGTGTCCTCCACAAAATTTATATGTTGAATCTAATCCCCAATGTGATGCTGTTAGGTGGCTGGGCTTTGGGAAAGCAATTAGGTCAAGGTTGGAGCCCTCATAAATGGGAGCCCTCCTAAGACGATGCCAGAGAGGTCTTTCCTCCATGTGAGGATATAAGGAAAAATCAACAGTCCACAACCCAAAAGAGGGTCCTCACCACAACCTGACAATGCTGACACCTTGACCTTGGACTTCCAGCCTCCAGAACTGGGAGAAATAAATTCTTGTTGTTGATGAGCCACCTACTTTATGGAATTTTGTTAGCATCCCGAACTAAGACGCTGGCGGAGAATCATTCTGTTTTGTTCTAGGCACAAACAAAATGCAAATTTATTCTCGTAATTATTTTAGTATCTGTTTGGTAAGTTAGTTAAGTCAGAAATATGATCTCGTATCATTTTAAAACCAGAAAATAAACCAAGAATATCAATATGAAACAAATGCTCTATTGATTAAGAAGGTAAATGCTAGTATAATTATCTTTTATGAACAAAAACAAACTCACTAAACAGAGTTATAGGTTCAACTGATGCAAAAGTACCTGTCTTGATTATTCTCCAATAGACATTATAACCTTTGGGCTGATGTAGCAAATTAAGCATCACGCCTAACGTTTTAACGGGTTTTTTTTTTTTTTAAAGAAGACAATTTATTGTGATTTCAAGATAATTTTTCCAATTGAAATAAACTATAGGCTAGATTTATTCTCTTTCTCACAGAGCTTTATATGAAAAACATAACTCTGAACTAAAAATTTTAAAACCTACAGGTTAATTCATAACACACTTATCCTTTAAAATTATAATGCTAGCATTTAAGACATCCTTAGAGCAACAAATGGATTTCTAGAAAGTCCATGATCACAGACGAACAATGTGAATTATCCTTAATGCAGAAACTAGAGCTAAAGAGGAAACAGAAAACGCTGGTCATTCTTGAGGCAGAAGTTTCAGTCACCAAAAAGCACGTAATACATGTGGCAACAAACTGTAGACTTAACTAGCAATGATAACTGTAAGCAAGCATCTTCTGTTAAATGATAGTCTACCATGTAATGCCATGGGAAGCAGGAGAGAAAATTCATCTTTGCTCATAAAGAAAAACAAAGGACATGAAATAATCCATTAGTTTTGCCAATCAGCAGATTTCTCTTGTCAAGGCAGAGCAGGAGAGAAGCAAGCAAAATGCAAGGTGACCTGGTGACCATACCTACAGTGACATAAGGAGCGGAGCGGTCCATGGTTGTTATCTTGTCCAGAAAATTTATGAAAGGAAAAATGACTTTATGCAAATTATTTCGAAATTTTTTCTTTTTAATTTGAGCTCTACTGTCACGTTGGTTCAAGTTCATTCCCTATTGCTTTAAAATATGCTCATTCTTTCTTTTTCATTTATATTCCCTTATTTTATCAAGTTTTCCACTCATTTCACTGCATTCTTTTCTGCTGTTTCTCCACGTTGATGAACTGACAGATGGCTCTAAGAGCCATAGCTTTTTAAAAAACGGAAACTATGGTGATTAAAATTATTTTCAACACTTCTAAACACTGTGATACATCAGCTGAGGAGATCGGCAGGCCTCTTCCTTACTTCTCTTTCTTGCAATTCCACGTAAGCTGTCAGTCCTGACATGCAAAGCTCAGACATAAAACTCCAAACAACGTAGGGGCTGGGGGAACTCTCTTTCAGCCAATAATCCCAATCTCTGCTCCCAAAACATTTTACCAGAGTAACAAGCAGGTGGCAAACTGCAAGAGATCTCAAACAATTTCCCGTTTTTCCCTCCTGGAAGATCCTGCACCAAACACAAATGGCTGTTGGCCATGCCCGTCTGAGAGGCATGAAGTTCCCTTGCATCTCGGGACTGGAGAGATCTCCCGCCCTTCTGCAGACTTCCAGAACCGGAATTCGAAATTATGGTTCACACGCCTACATGCACAGCATGCCCTTGAGCTCAGGCAAACAAGCCTCGCGGATTCCTCTCCCGGGCCACAGCGTGGCTCCGCGTATGTGCACTCTGTGCGGTTGCTCCCGACCGAGGCATTCTCTCTTCACCAGAGCTTGGGGTCGACCAGCTGCTCGAGGAGCACCAGCCTCTCTACACAGTTGATTCTGTTCCCATGGTTGTCTTAAATTCCACTATGCCAGCCCCCTGAGTGATTGGTTCCACCATCCCTCCAGAATCAGGCTAATAATCTGGCTTTGGGGTATTCAAATTATTACATAGACCGGGATCCTGCAAAACATACTTGCACATACCTGAAGCGTGTTCGCACGTGCACACACACACACGCACACTAGCAGCAGCCTTGTGCACCAGCGCAGGTAAAACCTGCACACCTTGTACACCTGTCTCCTCTCCAAGCCCAGTGAAAGACCCAAGAAACTTCTAGGAGCCAGTCATGCTATGATCCAAACTAGCTCACGCTTAGGGATGATTTAAGGGATTTGTGATCAGAACACAAAGAGCCTTCTCAAAGGTTAATACTAGCCCCAAGAAGCTACATCATGTACGGAAAGGACCCCTGGGCCAGTGACAAGATCACAGGGAGCATTGGTAGCCCCTGGCAAAGCATCCATTATAAGGTTCACCACAGTCTATCTCAGGAATACACCCTGGCTCCCTACACTGGCAGCCCCTATGTGACACCTGATTGCCTAGTTGTCTTCACTCTAGCCTGTGGGGGTGAGAGCAGATGCAGTGCTCTAAACTGAGCCAGACAAGAACAGCAAATTCAGATGGCCCTTACCTTTCTTAAATTCACATCCCCAAATTTCACCACATGAATAATAATCGTATTTTCTGCTTGTGAAAGCCAGACTGTGTATGTGCCGTTCTGAGGCAGCCAATCACTTTAACTCAGCTTTGCCAAACAATCTCCCACCAAACACACTTTCCGCCAAAGTGAACAGGCATTCCTCAGGTAGAAGTGGCCTCTGCCACGGGACCATTGCTGGCTGGAAGGAAGCCAGAAAAAAAAAAAAAAAACTATTATAAAAGCTGACTCCTGTTTGCACCCATTGCTCTGGAGTTGGAGCTAAAATTCCTCTTATGTCTGGTTAGCTCCTTCCTTGAGACATAACACTTTAATGGGCCTTATAATTTTGCAAAGGTAGTAAGTGCCTCAGGCCTATTCAGACAGGAGAGGTAGAGACCAAAGGAGCTGACCTGCTGTGCATAATGGGGAAGAGCTGCCTTTATCAAGAATAGGGTGACTTCTCTGGAGGCTCTTATAATGATATTTGGCAGAATTTTTGAATTTTTGCAAACTGTTTTCAGTCTTCACATCAACTCTAAAGTAACATTACCTATTATAAGTTGTCTCTTATAATAACTTTTGCCTTTTCAACTTCTCCTGAGCAGCACTCTTAGTTTCTCAGTAAATCCCATTACATTCTTATGAAATGAAAGAATCCAATAATTGTGATAGATGCTCCAGGCCAGGTGTATAGTAGGCAGCTAATAGATATGTCGACTTGTATTGAAACAGCCTCCGCTTTAACACAAGCTAAAGTGAGTAAACTATTACCAAATGTCGACAATTCAGAGGGGCTGTCTGTGACTGACAGTAATTGATACCTTGTACCGCAGACCAGAAGCCATAGGATGATTTTGAACAGTCTGAGCACCAAGGCATAGAGCTCCTAGAAGAGACACTGGAGAGCCAAACGCAGCTTATTTTGGAATTGAGCATCCTTGTTGAGGCTTCATCCAGAAATAATGTGGGGCTGACTTCCTGGTTGGAACCCTCAATGGGCAGGTGGTTGAATCTAAAGCTTCTATCAGTATCAGCCCGCTAACAATCCTCAAGCAAGTACCTAAATTTTGTGTCTACTGAAAATTCTGGGTTAAAGTCTCCAAAATTTCTGAAGCCAAAGTGAGAAATGTATCCGAAACTTATCTATTCATTCTTTAGGAGGAACACATAAGTTAAAGCCATTCTTAAGAACTCCAAAATTGAGACGTTTGTTGACACAATCCATGTAAACTACTGTCTTCAGGAATAGCTCTCTCTGGAATCATAACACGTAAGCAAAGAGACACCTGGTGGACAAAAATGTAAATACACTATTTAGCTTGAGGCTGAAGACAAATATCCTTTTGACTCTCTAGTTTAGCACTCGTTTGATTTCAATAGAGCATATTTTTAACTACTAGAATGATAAACTCAGAAATCTAAGTTTTTAAAACAATATTTTGTATTTATTTCTAAAACAATTTTTTGCTCTTTTTTAATTAGACTCTCTTACTGCATAAAGTCCTGAGAAGTAATACAAAAATTACTGAGTAGATCGCAATTGGCCAGCCACTTTGGTTCGCCTTTCTCTGAACACATGTGTGCTTATTTTTTCTGTTGTTGTTTCCATCCCATTATAGACTTTATGTGTGAGATTTTCCATTTGTCTTTGGGTTATTTTATTCTTGCTTTTAATTAAGTGGAGGCAAAGACCTTTTTTTTTTCCAGCCAGCTTCCTGTGGTCTGCCCAACTTCCTGCGGCCAACCCACTCTCTTCATTTCATCCTTTCCTACTCACACTTCACCTACACACTGTGTTATGCCTACCTTTTCACATTCAGCTCATACACGCACCTGCTCCCCTCCCACTGCCCTAGATAACTTCATCTAACCTCAAAAGTCGATCTTCACAAAAATAAGGAATCATCTATTTTGTTATACTTCATACTCGTGGAATTTGGTTATGTTTGTATTACAAATTGTTTTTTAATTAAATGGATATGTTTAATTGCAATTTCTATGACCTCATGAAATTTTAGCTCGGAAAGAGGAACGCTTGTGCCAAGAGAAGTCAGATGATACTTACAAAGTCCATTTACTCTGAGGCTGCCACACTGTAAAAGCCAGGCCATGTGGACAGACCCGGGGGAATGAAATGTCGTGTGAAGAAGCCAAGGAGCACCAAGGCTCCAGACTTGAGGATGTACAAGTGATCCTGGAAGTAAATGCTCCTGTTTCAACCACTCCAGCTGAAATCACGTGCATCAGAGATGAACTGCCAAGTCAAGCCCTTCTCAAATTCCTCTTGGAAGCCAAACAAAGAAGTCCTTACTCCTCCATTTTCAGGAAGTAAGGTGATTCTTACTTCTATCACACATTTGTTGGTGAAATGTTGAAACTTTTCTTTTGATAAACCAAAGGTGCTTATTATAAACTAATAATGCTTATTATAATGACATTATATCAGAAGTACTTATTTAAAAACTGGTAAGAATTATAATGATTAAAAGATAAAGACTGTCAATATTTTCAGATGATATGATTTTACATGTAGAAAATAATCTATACATGAATTATTAAAACTAAAAACTGGACATAGAGAGGTTGCTAGATGCAAGGTCAATAGGTAAAAATCAATGTTTCTATATACTAGCAACAAATAGCATGAAAATAAAATTTTTAGGAAGATACATATATAGCAACATCATAAAATTCCAAATACATTGGAATGAATCCAACAAAATATGTGTAATATTTCTATGAAGAAATCTATAAAATATTATTGAAAGAAATTAAAAGATCTAAATAAATGGAAGGATGTAGTGTTCACTAATAGAAAGACTCCAGATTGTAAAGATGACTGGCAAGTGCTTTTTCTTTGCTGTTAATTTTATCATCCTATGATCATAAGGATATTATCCTACCTTTTCTTCTAGAACTTTCAGGGGTTTTTTAGCCTTTCATATTACATCTATAATCTACTTGTAATTAATTTTTTACTATGATTTCAAATAAGAGTCAAGTTTCAGTTTTTAAATTAATAACCAATTGTCTCAGTCCCATTTATAGGAAATAGTCATTTCTCATTAGCTCTAACCATAAACGGAAAGCTCGATTAGTTAGAACACACTAAAATTAAGAATTTCTATTCACTGAAAGACAATAGGGATTGTAAAAGCAAGCCAACAAATGAGAAAAGATATGTCCAATACATATAACCTATGTAAGGCTACATACCAGAATGTTTAAAGAACTATAAATCGATAAGAAACAGGCAAAAAATCCAAGAGAAAAATGAGAAAAGACTAAAGAGCCATTTCACAAAGGAGAATATCAATTAGCCAACATACATATGAAAAGGTGCTTGACCTCGTTAACCATGAGGGACATGCAAGGCAATTGCAAATAAATACCATTAAACACCCACCAAAATTGTCAAATTTTAAAAGGCTGACGATACCAAGGAAAACTCTCAAACTCTGCTGGTGAGAGTGTAAATTAGGGCAGCCATTTTGGAAATCTGGCAATATCTGCTAAGGCTGTGGTAACAATTTTAATATCTGAAAATATAAAATTAATATAAAATAATAAAGCTATTATAGATTAATAACAAAAAATAAAGCCAGAAAATATAACCTTCATAAACATATAAATATATTGCCTCAAAATATATCAAGCAACGATACCTCACGAAACTGGAAAGAGAAATAAATAACTCAGCAATTATAGTTGAAGATTATAGCACACATCTCTTGGAAATCAGTAGCTTAAGCAGACAATAAGTGAACAGAAAGGGGGATGACCCAAATGGCACAAATTAGTAAATTCTGATACACAGAAGTCTATACTTGAGAAACAGACTGCACGCTCATTTCCAGCACACATAGTACATTGTCAAAAACTGACAAAGTAGTATACAAAGAGAAGTTTGATGAATTTCATAAAATTAATTTAATAGGATTATGTTTTCTGACTATAATGCATTAATTATAGAAATTAATAATAAAAACATAGTCTATATGTCTGAAATAAATCTCACTACCAAAAAGCAATTAGATTAAGTATAGCTTGTTTTCTAGTTTGATAT